AGTTACTTTCCCCTCAATTTTTACAGTATGATTTCTAACATCCAATTATAATTGGATTCAAAATAGTGAAGGTGGCATGAAAGGTATCCTCTTGCTTTTAAATTTCAATATCATCATTAAAGATAGCTGTTGATAATGAGGAATTTACATCATAGGAAGCTTGTAAAATAATAAGAGTGCCATTATATCTTTTGTGATCCGTTTAATAGCACCATCCTGCTTGATTTTGGAGTTGTGGTGCAAAGCCTGCTCCGCACACATGGCTTGGTCATGAAATACATACAATGCAGTGTATAGTGTAACATATTTTTGTTATGATTAGTTAATGTTGATAGAAGGACTCAAAATACTAAACTGATTTTTGTTTCATGGGTCATTGAGTCCTACACATATCAGTCGGTACTGAATGGACTGAACTTTCATCCATTGTGTTGTTTTTTAATATTTCTATGTTCAGATGGCAGGTTTCTACCTGATCTGTAGTCATTTTCTTCAGTTAAGCACATTGACACTCAAGCTTGTTGGGACTTCACATATTCCACTTTTTCCTAGGTCTGCCTCAGTCTCATCCTTTTGGTTTATACTGTAGAATCTGTTTGAATGTCTCGTCACCTGTCATTCTATCCATATGGTTTATCCATCTTTGTGTTCATGGATTTTATGTGGTACTGGATTTTAATTTCTTTTCTTGTTTTAGTTTTCCATCCTCTAATCCTATCAAAAAGTCATATAGAAATTAGCATAAGCCTAGCAGGAAGGTTCCAAGGAATAAAGTTTGTGATAATCTTCTTTGTAGCCCATTTGTAATTACGTATTAATAAATTTGCATTAAACTGTGCCATAAATACATATGACACTGTTTTGTAATCCAAAATTTTTACTTTTTCATATTATTTCAGCTTCAGCATGCATTTATATGTAGTGGGATATGAAAATTAACTGTTAGTAGTCTTCCTTACATCTGCCCATCCAAAATCTCCTGTACATTATTTCTAAAGATATTGGAAATCTTTACAAAAATGACTTGTAGTGTTAATACAAACATTTTAGTGTTTTAAGATATAGTAGACTAGCCTCTAATTATAATAACCATGCTACATAATGTATCATTATCCGCTTAAACCAACCAAAAAGTCCCTATAATTTTGTAGGATTTGAGGTATTCATAGCGGTGAGTCTGAAGACAGCTGTTTTCTGAGTTGTTCTACCATACTGATGGTGCAGTAACCCAGAAGACAGCCATCTTTAACATAATGTTCCTGACTAAGGAACACTTCGGTATTTGAAAATGGTTTATGAGACCAGATGCAAAGAGAATGAGACATGTACGTATCAGCCACCCATAGAAGTTTACTGCGACAGAGCACAGAATTGGTTTCAATCATCTTTAGCCAGTTATGGTACCTATGAAAAACCTGCTTTTGGCTGTCATGAGGGTCACTTGTGGGTCTCATGAAAATAGATTTAACTGTAGTGAGAAACAGGATTTATCATTTGTTGAAGTCATCATGGAGTGAAATATGTCTATCACAACAGCTGAGACAGGAAATTACTGCTGTAGGGTGAGGGTCGTGGATCGCAAAACAAAATCTATGCCTGGAAATTCACTTGTGATTCAAGGTGTTAAGTAGTCCCAAGAAACAGTAATGAAAAAACAAGGCCAAGCAACGCAAACACTTTGTAGGATTTGAGGTTTTCACAACAGTGAGTCTGAAGATTGCTGCCTTCTGGATTATTGTGCCGTGTAGTCTCATAGATTCATCACCCTGATGACAGAGGCAGTATGACCTCTGAAACATTGGTGGAAATCTACCAGACTACATGGTGCAATAATCCAGAAGACAGCAATCTTCAAAACAAACACTTTACCCAGTGGTTCCAATTGACTTTTGTCTAGTCATGAGTTCTTATTCCAGGTAGGTATATATATATATAGAGGCTGCTCAGAGTATCCAGCCTGAAGGTTCATCACTTTGTTCACAAAAGTCTGCCACCAGACTATCATGTTCCTCCCTCAAAGTGAGAGACTAAGTTTCACTGTGTAAAGTAAATGAACTGCCGAGGTTTGGTTCCAGGAAGGGGCAGTAGGAGTTTTCTATTTACCTTTGTGTTGAGAAAGGCTTCAAGACCCACAAAGCTTCTGATTAATGCATAACAGTGATTCTTTACCTGGTAATAGAGAGCTGAAGTATAAAACTGACCACTCATTTCCATCTATTGTGAAGATTATGAACATGTGGAACTTTATTTACACCTTCATGGCAATGTACATTTAGATATAAAGATAACTATGACCTCTTGGTATGGATATTACATTTTATTAGAAATTAACTGTTATTTATACATATTAAAGCACAATGATAACTATTCAACGGAAAAACACACAACCATATCTAATTACTTTTCCAGATTAATAGGATCGATTTCCGGTTCTGAAACAGACAGAGAGAAGACTGTTAGGTTTCAATACAGACTATGACCTCTCACAATATTAAAAGTAACACTTGCTATCATCGAAAACCCTGTTTTTACCTTCTTTCATAGAAACACATAATATGAACTGCATGCGTGGATAAAGCTTTCGAGGAATGCAATAAAACATTAGATACTACAAATATAATTATAGTGTGTAATGGTCCTTATCTTGCACATATTAAATGACACTTCCTGTTATTATTGTGGGTAATACACTTGTTAACAGAAGTGAATGCTTCTCTTGTAATTTATGTTCCACACTTGGAGAAAGTGATCATGCCTCGCAAATATAATAGCAGAACTTTTTCCCCCTTAAAAAACAGTGTAAACTGTTTGGGAAATAAACCAGAAACTAAGTTAAGATAATGTTGCAATTAATCCCTTACATAATACTTGCATATTGTGATTCTGAATTATTTCTGTTGTAAATAATGTAGAGTATTAAATTTTCCCATATTCACCTTTAAACTGAAAGGTGGGAAACTGTGTCATGTTAACACCTTCACCTCCACCATACTGTTTTGCCACCTTTTCTAATTCTGCAGCCAGCTCTCGTTCAGTTTCAGGTGTTGGCTCAACAAGCTTTCCTCCTGCAGCACTAAAATAACAGAATATTAGCCTAAAATTGAACTGCTTCAGTGACATAAAGATTTTATTTTTGGACTTTGTTACCTGCCACTCATATGAAGAAATGTCACTCACTCACTCTATGGTGCAGGATATTCTTTGAAAAGTCAATTGCATACTTGGCTTTTCAGAGAATAGCCCACTTTCTTTATGGAACCTGAAGGTTCATTGCCGTGTTCACAAAAGCCCGCCACCAAACTCTGTCCTGAGCTAGTTGCATCCAGTTGGCTTCATTGATTCCTATCTCCCTAAGGTCCATCTTTAACACTATCTCCCAATGACAGCTTGGTCTTACCAGCAATCCTTGTAAATACCCCTCCCCTCCCCCCATGTATGGTGCATGTCCCACCACCTATCCTTGATTTAACCACCCCAACAATATGAGATGATGAATACAGGCCATGAAGCATATCCTTATGCAATTTTCTCCATGATCAATCTTCCTTACTTTTAGGTCCAAATATCCTCAAAACAATGTTCACAACAAAGACCCTCAATCTATTTTCCTGCCTCAAAGTGAGAGACAGTTTTGCATATGAAGACATGTATAAATAGAAACCTGTGAAAATAAAATAACAATGAAGAAACAGAAACCACCATACTTGATATTCCTAGTGGACAACTAAATATCTTGTCTCCTTTTCCATCCCTTTTACCTCCTTTATGTTTGCAGGTATATGGGTGGATAAACTCCATGCAAGAAATGCAACAAGTTAACTCAGTAATAATTTGACACTGCAAAAGGAAATACTCTGCAACCACCTTACAATCCCTCTGCATGAGCATCATATAATGAGAAGGGAGGTATAGCTCCATACATACTTTACCTCAACATTTAATGGAGGTGAACTGTCAACTTATACTTCATCAGAGGAGCCTAGGTGAGTAACAGAATTGTTTGGATCGTGTGACAAAAAGAAAAATCCTGGCCCTATTATAAATTTAATCCCAGTTGTCTGGCCAGTAACCGATCACTGTGGTGTTGTCCTGGAATAGCTAGTACTTAAAAGAAGTCAGTGGACATCCAGAAAATTCCCCCTGTACTGCATAATCTGTGCCATTTGAAAGAATTACTGGTGTGGCAACAAGTGACGTAATACATAAGACATTGCCTGTTCATTCATATGAAAGCAATGAAACAGCTAGTCTGAAAATGTTGGTGAATGTAATGTTCACTGAACACCCACATATACTGTAAATGATATTCTGGTGTGAAAGCTTCACCTTTACAGGTAACTTGTATTGAGGGGGTTGTACATTTCTTGTATTACAACATGCACAAGACTTTGCTTCTTTAATGTAGATGTAGCTTCATTTACCTGCTTTTCTTGGCATATTCACGGATCTTATCAATAAAGAGTTGCTGAATTGGATCTGTTGCTTTTTGTAGGACTGGAGCACATATTCCTATATTGCGCCTCAGGATAACACGAATTTGTTTCCCATTTGTTAGAAGATGAGAAACCAGCATCCTAAAATGCGTCAAATTATATTTGTAATGGTCATTACATTTTCTCAAGGGTACATTCTTAACCTCAGTTAAGAAAATGCAGTGATTAAAAATCTGGTTATTTTATGCCAACATTAAAATTATTAACATGTAGCTAAATGTATAAATTCGTAGTAGTTAACAATTAGGCGCATCTCTTGAGTATAAACGTCTATTCCATCAATATACAATTCCGTCTGCTAAACATTAATTCATGCCTTTAAAACCAATTTGCAATTCTATCAATAAATATCTAATCTAATAATCAGATGTTAATAGCTTAAATGACATCACTAGACCCTAAAACGTTCATCGCTATATTATACGCAAGAAGTGCAAAAAAGATTACTTATAACCATTATTTTATATAGTTTTCACCTTGCAGTTTTGTCGTTCAGTACCCTGCTAAAACCAATATGGCGGAAGAACATTGGAAATACGTTCTACAAATCATACCTATTTTTATTTAAAACTTGTTCTAAATTATCAAATTAAATATAGCTGTAAGACAATAATTACACTGTTCTAAATAACACCTAAAACTATGATCCAAACGTATGTAACATGAGTAACAATTATGTTCAGCTTGACCTATCATTAAACTAACTCCATTCATACGTCACAAAAAGCATGGGATAAACTGACCAATCATATGCCATGTTTTCATTCATTCATTGAGTTTCGGCAGCCATAATCTTAGGGCTTTATGTTGTGAACATTACTATCCAGAGCGTGTGTGTGAGTGTTGTGGGTTTGCTGTCGTTCCGTTCGTAAAAGTATTAAAAGTTGTGCATATACATAGTTGGAACAACAAAAGTGAGAACAAGGTTTACTTGACTTTTAAAATACAATTTGGCGTGGTGAGTACCGAGAACCAAAGTATATAATTACGCTGTAAATATGTTTTTGTAACAGAGTGTATTGGTGGGAGGGCAATTCCAATTCGAATTATTTCCTGATTTTATGTTATGGGTAGTGGATGGGAGTGCACATAACTTTGCAGAGATGACAAACGGTAATTACAAGTTGTGCAATATATTAAAATATGTTTACACGTGACGACATAATGAGCAACATCAAAGGCACTACATCTAAGTTTTCGTTTCATAATAAGGCGGTAGGTAGTGTTCGCGTAACTGAATTTTTCCAATTGGTGACGCATGCACTACAATATATCGATCTTGAGCACGTGCTTGTCAAATTGGAAAGACAAAGGTTGGGGGGGGGGAGGTTCTAATTTAATGAAGTTGGGAATCTGCGACGGCTACAGATTTCTGAGCCGGCTCCGACTCATCGTTATCTCATGCTGAAGTCAAGAAAGAGTGGAGCTATACCTCCACCACGTCATATGGGTTTATGAATGTGGCTGTATTTCATTGAAGTCGAACACACGTTGAAGGGTAATTAATCATCATGATACACTCATTGTAACTTTATCGCCAATATCGGGAGCCAATCGCGAAAAGAGAACTACGGGAAACAGACATATCAACCTGTTGGAAGAATAATTGATTGAAACACATCAACATGAAGAATGCGCGTTTTAAATTACATGAATGTAGAATACGACCAAAATACTCGACTCTTGATAATGATAAATAATAAATGAGTACGTTACAAGTATATATGAAGTACGTACATATGATAATACCAAAAAAGTAACGTCGAGATTAGAAACAGGAAACCTAAAATAGATAAGATTTTATGTGTGTCGATAAATCGCTTTTAGCAGTAGATATCCATATTAAGAAGACGCAGTTATATTACATATTTAGATAATTTGTATGCGGGTAAATATACAGAATGTGACTGACGCTCATGTGAAAGTAATAAAATAAGACCAACATGGAAGTATAAGAGACTTGTAAGACAGGTAATGTGCTAAACCGAATGCCGATGAGTAGTAAACAACTGAAAATCCATCGTAGATGGCACTAGGGCCGATACATACCGTGATTCCTGAACTTTAAAGTACTATGCCGCCGTGGGAACCTGAAATCTAACAGTTGGTTCAACCTGATCAAAAATGTTGTTCGCACTAACCCTAAAGACTGGTAAACAGCGGACCAATAACGGACTTCCATTCTTCGAGGTTTTCATCTTAATATTATTTGCCTATGTGAACTTTCAGAGTGTGGCGTAAGTCTTTTGATAAAACTTTTGCCATTTTCATTGTCCTGTCCACACACGGTGTGGGTTCATTCATTTTCATACATTTTAAGGGCTTGAATGAACCTTTACGTGAATCTTCTTAAATGTTTATAAAACCATAGCATGTACGATACTTACACAGGCAAGTAATTTATTACAAGAAACTATTATAACACACTATGTTTTTATCCGAAATATGATTTACAAAGTTACGACCTAAAACATTTACTTGGTATCAGGTGTGACCAAAATCAAACGATAATTTGTATAACCGCCGGTTGGTCAACAGTACAGCTTTAAGATTAATCTGTGTAGTGGTATTAATTAACATTGGTACAATTTCAGTGCAACATACGAGTATGAAGATAACTGTCTTCCGGGATGTTGCGCTGTGTAATCTGGTAGAAGTTTACGGACGTTTCAGAGGTGGTTGCTGCCTCCAATATCAGAGCGATGACAATGGAGGAAGTAATCTCTGAAACGTCTGTAAACTTATATCAGATTACACAGCGCAACATCCCGGAAGACAATAGTTTCCAAGCGTTATGTCCTTTGCACTAGAGGTTATAAATAACCTTTCTAACTATAGGACTCTCTTTCTTTTTCCGAAGACACCGTGCTACAGAGTCGACGAACCGCTGATAGAAATTATGGCTATGCTTTCGCGCATACTTCCTTGTGCTATGAATCCGAACGGAGATTATTTATCAGGCATATAATTGTTTTTAAAATAGGTCTATATATAATCATATACTTTAATTTTGCGATGTATAATTTGAAAACCACAAGTTTACACTATGGCCGCTGGATTACGATCGAAATAAGAACATTTTGCTTGAGCTCTCATGCATAGAGATGGTGTCCCATTCATGCTCTAGGCCCATGCATTGCACTTAAATATATAAACATAAAAAATGTGAATGTAAACTGTAACACCAAGAATTGCTGTAGCTCGATAGATGTAAGGATCACTCAAAAGTTTGGTCTCGTAGTAAATAAATCCACTGGATTATAAATTATGCAAGTTTCATCAGTGAAGATGGTAAGAACTGAACGGGTTGCCACTGGGGTAATGTGTTTGACCATTTTAAAGATCTAGAAATTTCTTATGATTTTTGGAACCCCAACATTCATTACCGTATTCAGAAGATTCTGCCACCCAACGCCTGCCTTAGTCAGATGAATCAACTCCACATCCTCGCATAGTTTTTTTATTATTTTACTTTAGAGTTATTGTGTGCATTTCTCGTCTCTCCTATGCGCTTCGAAGGTTCCCAGCCCGAATCGGAGAATTGTTTTTTTAACTCGTGTAGTGTATTTTAATTTTGAGATTTGCGGCCTTCAAGTACAGATGAGAGTTCATGTTGTGGCCTTCTGGGTTATGACACCGTGCAATCTCGTAAGTGGTCACCACCGTTTCTGAGGAACATGCTGCCCTTATATTCTCGTTAGAAGTGAAGGTGAAGGCAGTCTGTTGGTAACAATAGTCAGATTTAAGGATCTTATGACGGCGAGTATGAAGATGACTGTCCTCTGGGATGTTGCACCATATAATCTCGTAGAAATTGACCAACGTCTCAGACAGAAGACAGTCATCTTCACGTAGAAGACGAAACCACAGTCTGAAGTACGTCTTGTTAAGCCATCACTTGTATTGGGGGTACACGTAACAAAAGAGTTTTATCTCCCGGAGTGACCCCAGATTTTGTTTGGACCACTTTTTTTTTGCCGGCATACACATTCACCCATCCATCAATTAATTCTTCTTTTCTTTCACTTTGTCCTTTCAGTTGTGTTCGCTCATTTCCTCATTCATTCATCATTCTGAATAATTACCAAGATTACGAATTATCAGCTCTGAGTAGTTGGCCGTGCTTGATACATCCAGTACAATAGTTTTCTCGATTCATTTCCCGGTATTAATTATCAGCAAAGGAGACAAAAATAAGTTAAGCGAAGGTGAATTTACTCGTGATTGAAAGTTTTAATGCGCGTTAAGTGGATGAACATCTCTGTAATCTGCTTACACAGAAGGAACCGAATAGAACATTCATAAATTTTTCTCTGCTACTGTAATTAAATGGCAATGTTTTCTGAAGAGAAATTACCATTCCGTACTGTTCTTGGTCTTATAATCCAAACGCTGCTCGTACTAAAAACACTAGTCTCTAGTGATGATGGTATGATGTGATTTATTTGTTGTGTATCCGGGACAGCTCAGTCAGTATAGTGACTAGCTACGGGCTGGACGACCGGGGTTCGATCCCCGACGGGGCCGAGGATCTTTCCTCTAGCCTCTGCGTCCAGACCGGCTCTGGGGCCCACCCAGCCTCCTCTACAATGGGTACCGGGGTCCTTTCCCGGGAATAAAGCCGGCCGGGGCGTGATGCTGACCACTCACCCCCATATAGTGCTGAGGTCAAGAAAGAGAGGAGCTATACCTCCACTCACCCCAAACCCCTACATGGCGTATAGTGGGACAAACTTTACTTACTTTATACTGTAGTATGTAATATTAGCTTATTCCAGGGAAATTTCGAAATATATATAGCTGTGATGAATAAATTAACTGCAGATGTTTTGTTGTGATTAATATTAATTTGACATTACTCTGGTAGACAGCTGCTATTCTTGCTTTAGTGAATCATTCATGTAAAACAGACTTACAGAGGTCAGTTCTTCAAATCAAATATGGGGAAAAGGTCGTTTGTGACTCTGACCGCACGATTTTTCATACAATACTCGATGCTTGCACTGTTAATGGCCTCTGTTTTACTTACACTGATAATATTTGGAAAAAAGAAAATTAAGTCCAATGAAATACTGGCTATTAGTTAAAGTGTGTGTGTTACTGAACGATTGGTGCGCATTCACGATTCCTGAAGTATTTTCGGAGCTACGATAAAGCTTGCCATTGAAACAAACTGTGTAAATCTGAGTTTTGAAATCTCAATTCTATAACGTTTATAAGGTTTATAAACCGGCAGAGCTCAGTCAGTAATGTGAATGATTGTCACTTGACGACAGATTCTTCTATTCACCACCGCGTTCAGAAGGGCTGTCGAGCCCACAAATTAAAAAAAAAATCCGTAAGTTAAAGCATCTATAACGTGAAGCTGTTTGTTCATCTCCGTTTACGTCCAGGTTAAAAGGGCTTGGACCTTCGCCTCTTTTAGAGAGTTGATTTGTCGTTCTCAGCTGATTTTTTTAAAAAAAGTCTTATACGTGAGAATACCTTAGCGCCTCTGCATGTGTTCGTAGGGTTACTAATCCACGAACAATGAAAGGTGTAAAATTATTGATGACGGGGATGTCGCCGATCACGCAAAGGAACACATAAGGGCTTTACGGATTCGCGTAATAATATTGTCTCGTGTGTCTCAGG